CAAACTGCCGCTCCTCCTCCTCCTCCTCCTCCAAAGACTCTGGAGTCACATGAACATTACAGCCATTGATACTGTCTCACATGGGTCTGCTCCCCCCCACTGAGCGATGAACTGAAAGCATGACATCTGCTTTAAACACTTGGAAGCATCCCTGTCACACCAGCACCAACCTTGGGTCAGTCAGATGAGACAAACGGCTTCACTTAGGGCATTTGCTTCAGATACATGACTCGTTACCACAGAGTGGGTTGGGTTTTTTAAGGCTATTCATACTGCTATGCAGAGGATGCCTGTCTGTTGGCAAGCTGTTAAAAACCCCTACTATTGTTAAAATATGCCTATGTCTCTTAATGTCTAGTTCTACATGTATCCACATTATATAGACAATGTTTCCACCTAGTAAAACTAAAGGCTGCACGAAACTCAGGCTACAATACAACCATCCTGTTCTGCTCTAACGATTCCATTTTTAGATTTTCATTCTACATCAAAACAATTAGCTTTTATTGTTTCCAATGATAACAACACCTTGAGTGGAGGAATGTAAACCTGTTTTCAAATGTAAGGTTTTGATTCACTTTGACATTTCAGAAGAGAAAAGATATTGCTGGTAAACTAATATGTTATCAAATGGTAAATGGTGCATTCATATACATTTAGAATGATTGAGAAGGGGTTATATCCACAGGGACAAGCTCACCTTTAACTTACAATATAATGTATCTGCTATGGACTGATGAGTATATGATGCTTGCATGTTAAATGACTAACACAAACCTTCAAAATGATAATGTGCATGTGTCAGGAAGGCTCCCAAAGCAATCTGAGGGGCCTATCCTATTGTTGTAATTAAATGATAATGTGCTAATCCATTACTTTGAGTTGTCATCTCTCAGAAAACCTCCCTATCAGGTGTTAACCCAATAACCAGGTCAGCTCTCAAGGCCAAGGTCAGAGAGAAAGGGTCCACACTCTCCGGTGCAGAGAGCACCCCCAGCCACGGGCAAGGAACCACGAGGTCGTTCGAGATGAGAGGATGTTTCTCTTCAACGTTCTGATGAGAGTGGATGCTTCTCCTCACCAACCCTGCAGGATGAGCGAGGGCTTCAGAGGCTTCTATAATACAAGGTTCCATGTTTCTTGGAGCAGTTTGATGTCTTCCTCTCCTTTCACGGGGGGGGGGACACTTGAATGCATCAATAGGAATACTCAGTTGAACTGCTCTGTGGGGGGGGGGGGGGGTCAACTACGATGCTCAATGAAGCTCAGCGCAAGTTCTTTCAGGAAGACTGGGTATACATTCAGTCCGCAGCTGCTTATAATCAGCTCATCATGGGCGTTGTCTTTAACATATTACATTCACCTCATTCTCCAGCAGCCAATCACCGTGCTGCAGCCAAACTTTAAAATGTTTCTCCTCTCTCCTGCAGTCAGCTGTGATTTCAGGTTGTCATGCTGCCCCCCGCCTCCTACCCATCCACCTCCTTTCATCATATCCAGTGCCAGGAGAGTTAATCCAAATACCTCATCACACCTCCTCTTCATCCCATCTCCTCATCACATCCAGATCTTCAGCATCATCACCAGTGTCTAGACCCCGGGGGGTTCCCTATATGCTCACGGCTGCATTTCCCCCTCTAGATATACGATTTCAGGATCGGGGTCTAATCGCCAAAGACTTAACATTTATCATATGACATGTGTCAATAAATGTTCTTTAAACAAAATTAAGTCTCTCCTGATTGAACTGAATGGACCACACAAAAGCAGAGCAATATGAAGGGGTTACAATATGGCGCTCTGATGAAGAAGAGTTTGAGTCAATCAGCAGCTCAGTGCTAATCTACAGTATCAGGATGCCTTACACAGAGAACGAGTCAGGAAGACTGACGGACATGTTCTTCCAGCTCTCGTACAAAGATGAACTTTTAATTGAATGACCAGAGCTTTACAGATGTGTTTATATTTCCAATGACCAGACATGTGTTAAATAGTGGTGATTAATATATTTTGTCAGATCAGATTACACTTTTGCACTAAACAAACTAAATTAATTAATATTTTCAGATTATAAGGTATTGAATAATAAGGTATTTCTACTATTATCACAGATAATGTTAATATCGTTAATCGTCCAGCAATCAGACTTAACAACACTCCTCATGCATTATACATGCACGGAAAGACCTAACATGTTGTTTCAAGAACTGGATTAATTTCTGTTTTGGCCCAAAACAAATATGTATAATAATTCATATAATAATTATATAGCATATTGGATCCTCTAATTAGAAAAGTATAATTTAAAGAAATTGATATTCTATATTCAACATTAGATAAACACTGAAGAACCCTTTCAAAGTACCATCAGTAGATGTTCAGGTAAGTATGGCTAATAAGAATAATTAATTGAGTTAATTTTGTATAGATCAGTTGTAGCATTTACAAATGTATGAATTAAAGTTTTAAGAATCCTTCCTTCCCGGTTCTTACAAAAATCTTTGAATATTTGCCTAACATTTCTTTTTCAGATTATTAAACATGTTGAGAATTGTTTAACTTTTCTCTTCAGATTTTGAAATGACATTATGACTGATAGGTCAATTAATGTAATTCTGTTATAATGCTATCTGTCTTTTGATTTCATATTTAATGAGTAATGTAATCCTAGGTTGATAGTTAATAATATCACTATAATGTTAAGTTTATATACTGAATACTTGAACAAATATAGCCTTTTAAATCTAAATGTTTGATTCTTTATAGTCCTGGGTAATTTATAAAGTATCAGGACCTCATTTATAAAGGGATATACGCTCAAAAAATGGCGTACGCCAGTTTCTACGCAATGTTTGCGATTTATAAAATACTAACTTGATGGGAAAACGTGCGGTCCTCCACGCAAACTCTAACCCATGCGTACGCACTAAACACAACAACGGGAGAGACGAGAAACTGCGACACCGCGTTGGCAGAAGGAAGAATGGAGAGAAATATGTGGAAATAATACCATAAATAAAATGTTACCTCTCATTTATCATATATGAAGAATTCATTTTCAAACATTGATTAAAGCCAATCTTAAAATGATTAAACAAACGCCTGTTTGCGACTCCTCAGTGCACACAAACATAACTTGGAGAAATAAATAAATACGGATATGTTATTTAAAACCACCTCGAATATGTTGTGTTAATGTTATGAAATGTTTTCTCATAAATGATGCGGTAAACAAAAGGACAGAATCACGTCTAAACTGACGCCGTTTTGCGTTTCTATAGGTTGTAGATACGAGCATGGTTTTATATTACACCGCTCTCGCAATTGTTTTACGCTCAGTGTCCGAAAGAGAATTGCTTCTCAATTTATTCTTCCGATTATGGACTATTGTGATGTTGTCTACCAAAATGCACATAAATCAGATCTTGCTCCACTCAACATAGCCTACAACAGACTATGCAGATTTGTTCTTGGTTGTCCTTTTCGTACACATCACTGCACAATGTATAACCAACTTAAATGGCCTTCTTTAAATGTAAGAAGACACACGCATTGGCTTCAGCTGATATTTAAATGCATTTATCTTAACTATCCCCCTTATTTAAAGCAGTATTTTGTACCCTACTCGTCAAATCATCAAGTTAGACATTCTGTTCAGATTTATTTCTCTGTCCCCTCTGCAAAAAAATTGATTGGCAGAAGAGCGTTCATGTTCAAAGCCCATGTTCAAACAGACTGTATGTGGTTTGTCTTGTGTGTCATGTTTTGCATTTTGTCTTTTTGTTTATGTATGCCTGTAAGTTGTTGCTATTGTCGAGACCCCCTTGAAAACGAGATGGTGCATCTCAAGGGGTTTATCCCAATGAATACAATTTCTATATATATGTATACTATCACGTTTATTCGTGTTTTATGCCGTTTGCCAAGACTTGATAAGTCGCTCGTAAAACACAGGAGGTATGGAAACTAAGAACACCATATTATATATAATATAATAATAATATAATAATATTATATATACGGCGTTATACATGAGGCCCAAGGTGTTTAGCTTCTGAATCAGAATCCCTTTATTCGTACATAGTAGCCTATTTTAAATGTAATGAATTGAATTTACTACATTGATAATTGATAAATACTGTACGTGATAAAGTTTGTTAGGATTCAATTATTTGTGTTATTATGTATCTGTGATTTTCATGTATGTTCATTATTATTCTTTTGACAAAAGATGCTCCAAACACTGATGAGAGATAATTGTTATGATTGTAATTGACTGTTTCAATCTGAAATGTTGTATTAATGTGAGATACATTTAGATTCAGGGTCCATATTTTTTTAGTCTCGCTGATGAAGAATTTTGATTATTATACTCCAAACTAGTTAAAACCTTGAGCTGCAGAACTGTTCTTCAGAATTGATTTGGCATCTCTTCCGTGTGGTCAACTCGTGGCCCGTGATGTGTCTTGTGAATTCTCCGGCCGAAGCTCCAAATAAACCATCAGTGTTTGACATCAAAGCTCCAGCTCTCCACCGTGTCTCTTCGAGTCCTGAGTCTCAATTGCTTTAGAAGTTTCCCCCACATAATCATTAGCCTTTTTAATTAAGTTGTGAAGTGAAACGTGTGAGAGGGTGACTTTTATTTCTCTGGATTCAGTTCAAGATCACATCAGAAGGACCGAAAGCACCCACACTATGTGTGTCCGGCCATCAGAGTGGCCATTATTCAATATAAGAACATGCTGTGGACTTTGGTGCTAGTTTGTTTCCATCACAGATGTGACGTGAATATCTGTTTGCATGCTCTGTAACCTCACCCTTAATATTAGTTGTTTGAAGGGGAGTGTACCAGGGACAATGGAAATAAATGGGACAGGTAAGATTAGCAATCATGAATCACCATGTCAAACTATGGGATTGCCACTCCCTCCCCTGCATCAGTAAGTCCTTGCCTCCTGCTATAAAGCGCTGGAACTCTCTCTCATCTTCCTCAGTTCCCAAAGAAGCAAATGGCTATGGCTAAAGAGTGGGTGCTATGGCTGTCAGTTGTAGCTGCCTGTTACAGCGGTAAATATATTATATTCCATTAGGAAGCATGACAATATAACAAGGGACTATTAACAGTTCAAATGTTTACCTGTGGGATGCAGTCTTGTTTTAAATGTAGATTGAGATTTGTTATGGATTACTTGACAAAATAAAACGTACTTCTTTCAACAGATGCAACGTCTGCTGTGGACCCGTTCACCTCCAGGTCCCAGATTCCTGAGAGAATAACAGGTGAGCTTTTTGGTTGTTGGTTCATAACTGTAAACAGCTTCCTTATGGAGGCAACATGTGAGAATCATGCATGGACCTAATGACACATTTACAAATCGGCCATTTGTGGCTTAATGTCCTGATCTCTCTGAAGGTGTAAGTCCCATCCACAATGGCCAGGTATGCAGTACCTGGGGCAAATTCCACTACAAGACCTTTGATGGAGATGTGTTCCAGTTGCACTCCACCTGCAACTACATCCTGACCTCTTCATGCAGCAGCTATTACAAGGACTTCAACATCCAGATAAGGAGGGGGGAAGATGGCGACCACCACACCATCAAAAACATCATCATGAAGCTGGAGGGCTCAGTAGTGGAGCTCTCTGTGGGCTCAGTGGTGATCAATGGCAAATCGTAAGTTAACCTTCAAAACACTAAGACCTTTCTGCTCTGCCTGCATAACGCAGTGCTGCCAACACAATGGTGCATACAAATATGAAATCTCATAACTTTATTAGAAATACACTGGGACTGTCGTTGTGACTTCATAAACAGTAACATGGTGTCCATGGCAAATGTAGTATGCTACTATGTAAGTCTATGTGTGGGGAGGCTGTGGCTAACCCTAACCCTGGACACCAAATCAGGGGATAGCAAGTTCGAGTCCCACTGCAGTCAGCATGTCGTTGTGTCGCTGGGCACAGTATTGAGTATGTAAGTAACATGTAATGTAATGTATTCCTATTAAAACTGTTGAATGAAGTGGCTAATGAGGTGAATTGTGTTGGGAAAAAATGTGGTTCAATGTTTTATGATTTTGATCTGCAAAAAATCCCTGACAGAATGTCGGCAACTGTGAATCGATTTGGCTTGCTTACCAGAGGGTCGCTGGTCAAGAGTCCAAATGGACCAAGTAAGGGCACTGCCAAAGTGCCCTTGAGCAAAGCACCAGAACCCCACACTGCTCCCTGTATAGTAGCTGCCCACTGCTCCCAGGACTAGGACTGGTGTTGTGTACTTATGTAGGACGAGTAAATAAGGATATGATTAAAATCCTCTATTTCCATTTTCGGATACCAATGAAAATCTCCCTTTGGCTCTAACCAGCATGAAATGATGACTTTTCTTTTTGCAGAGTCATCTTACCATATAGTCAAGCAGGTATACTCATCGAGAGAAGTCCCACCTACATCAAAATCAAAGCAAAACTGGGATTATTTGCCATCTGGAATGAGGAAGACTCTTTTCTGGTAGGATTGTGTTGGCAGAGAAACATATTTTATCGCCATTATTGTTTAATCACTTTTAAAGCTTTGAATCAAAGTGCGACACGATGAGACTGCGCACTAAACAAATGATGTTTATAAGTTGTAATGGAATGCAATATTTCCATTTGTCAAGTAGAACCGCCATATTAATATTATTTAAAGCATAAGTACTTTGATTTCTAAAAGTCGTGTTGATTATCAGAATTAGCATTGTATGGTGAATCATCTGCAGGTTCCAGCTGTCCCTTAATGGGATGGTTTTGTTCTCACAGGTGGAATTAGACCCAAAGTTCAAGAACCAAACGTGTGGTCTTTGTGGAGACTTTAATGGAGTCTACAATGAGTTCTTCAGCCATGGTACACTTTAAGCCACATAAACAACTCCATCAGTGTAGGTTTGGCCAGAAAACTAAGATGTTTCTTTGATGTAACCCAGGTGTGAAAATATCCCCCGTGGATTTTGCTAACTTCTGGAAAATGAATGGTCCAACTGAAAGCTGCTCTGACTACACACTGGAATCAGCACAAAGCTGCAACAACATGGTGAGCTCCACCCACTCTATGGAAACCAAAACATATTGTTTTACGTACTGGGAAATTGATTAATTTGAGAATGAAAGGACTAATACCTCTTTTTATTATTATTTTGTAATACTTCTTTATTCTATAGTTACTTTATTTGTATTATTCTTCTTAATTCTTCTTCTTCTTCTTATTGTAGCCTTATATCTACCCTACAAATCTGTATCAAAGTTAATTCTGCACCAAAGCAAATAAGTGTATTTCCTAAACAAATCTTCACAATACAATACCTTAGGCGCTTTAACACCGGAGTACTTTTCCCAGGAATAGTTCCGATAGTTCTTGGGATTTTTCTTTCACACCAAAAATATATGGAACTAGAACCTAGTTCCTGCAAACCTTTTCACTCCCACGAACCGTTTTCTCCCCAGGAGTTCGTGGGTGTGTCGGCCACACTAACAATTTCTGAGTAGCCGGGCGAATTGCAAACCACACCCCGTAAAATTCCTAAAAGTTTTGTGAAGCCGCCATTTTATTTGCTCGCATTAGCATTATTAGCATTAGCATAACCCAGCGCACTAACTTATGGCAACAAAAAATAAAACATAGGAGCGGTGGAGTGGTGAGGAGATGTCTGCGCTTCTGCCACCCGAAGTCATGGAGTCCGGGGGACTTCGGGTGGCAGTATACGCGGTGAAGTATCAAAGCAGAAAAAGAAGAAATGAAGTCAGCGGCATCATTTGCGTAATCCTCCCTCAGGGACTTATTCTGGTGTGAACACGATCTACTAGGACAGTTCCAGGGACTAACAGTTTGGGGGAACTAAGTACAGAGAACTAAGTACCGGGTTTGTGTGTGTCTGTGTGTGTGTGTGTGTGTGTGTGTGTGTGTGTGTGTGTGTGTGTGTGTGTGTGTGTGTGTGTCTGCAGAGACCTCTGTGTGAGCAGATCCTCACTGGCCCGGCGTTCAGCAGCTGTCTTAGTGGGCTGGACGTGCCCTCCTTTACCTCTGCCTGTGTAGCTGACCTCTGCCACTGTGGTGCTGGCGGCAGTGAACAGCTGGACCCCGCCTGTCTGTGCAACACTGTGTCCGAGTTCTCCAGGCAGTGCAGCCATGCTGGTGGACAACCCAAAAACTGGAGAACCAAAGAGCTCTGCTGTGAGTTCATTCAATACACACTGCTAATGGACAATTCCATGTGAAGGAGGTTTATTTCAGTTTCCAATTAAGGGTTTTAAAAAGCAGATACACTACAGCGCATATGTTCAGCATCATGCAAATGTTTCAGGTCAGAGAGCAGAAGCTGAGTCCTAGAACCTGATGCCATTAATTCAACCCCACCCCTTATCAAAGCTGAAAGAGGACACGTGTTGGCGTGCGGTTGAGGGTCTGGTTCCAGGCTACAGAAGTGAAGTTATGAAAAGTGAATGTTAGTAAAAATAAAATGTATTTACAGGGAAGTCATGTCCGGACAAAATGGAGTACAATGAGTGTGGTAGTCCCTGTGCTGATACCTGCTCCAACCCGGAGGCCAGCCACACCTGCGACAACCACTGTATCGATGGATGCTTCTGCCCTGCAGGTACAGTTCACACATTTCACATTTTTATTCGCACCGGAAAGCCGCTCCGGCACTTCAAAAATTGCAGTAGCCTACCCATAAGGAGCCGTACACATGCCACAGTGTTTTGCGTGGCTGTGTTTTTAGTTGAAAGCCCAGTGGTATCTGTTCATCTGTCATAATAATCATTAAATAAAGCCATCGAAAATAATAGGATACAGTGTTAAAATTACTTCTGGGTCTCTCTGTGTCATTCAAGCTCAGCTGTGTGTGTGTGTGGCACAAGCGCATTTTGTGTGAGCGAGCGAGAGAGAACACACAGGTGCCGGGGATTGTTGTTAGCATCTGGTTAGCTAGCTATACTAACGTAACATACTGTAAGGAGTTGTTTCTACAACAAGGTGGACGAGAGTCCTCTCCTGTCAGACTGAGAGGATCTTATAACTACAGCTCAGTGAGCTAAAGGACTCTCTGAGGGTTTAGATAGTTAACTTTAGTCTAAGTTATCTCAGTGGGTCTCAAACGGTTTGGTCACCATTTATGATGTAAACAAGTATTTCCAAGGCACACCTTTTTATATGATCATTATAATTATAAAAAATAAGAGAATCAATGACAAACAGGTATGAAATAATTCCAACTCATACTATAGGACAGTAAAACTAAAATACAGTTTAAAAGGGGAGTGATTAGTAAGATATGCATAAAGAGAAATTACTTCTGTTTACAGTACTGTTTTACATGGGTGTTGTTGAGAGATGTATCCATAGATTTAGTCCCTAATTTTGCTCTCAAAGTGCAAGAGTTGATGCATTAACTTCACCATGCCCCCGGACCTCCCTAGAGGATGTTAGGTCCACCACCCACTAAAAAAGGGTGACATGGATAGCGTTCTAAATACATTTGCACACTTTTGATATAGTAACCTATGTCCATATGTTTCTGTTTTGGTTGTCGTGCCACAACGGTGCGCGTGCATGCATGTGCGAGTCATAGGTGCGCTCCTGCACTGATTCCAAAATCAACTTGGTTGAAGATTTTCGGATGAGTACAATCTGATGCATAAATATGATCTAGGCTAGGGTTACCCTTTCAATTTCTATGGCGTTCATATTTCACCGGCAACCACAGTTGAATAAACCACTCAAAATTCAATGAAAGTGGTGATCAGCAATGTTATGTGTTCAGACTGTGGAGGATATCATCAGTCCTTGAAGAAATCAAATGTAAAACACAATATTTATGATTGATGAAAGTAGTATATTGGTCAGATGTAACCCGAAAGCCACAGGAGGGTTAATGCAGTGGTTCTCCGGTCCTGCAGGCACGGTGCTGGATGATCTGAATGGATGGGGCTGTGTCCCGCTGAAGGAGTGCTCATGCAGCTACAACAGCCGGACGTACAGACCTGGGGAGTCCTACTCCAGCAACTGCAAAAAATGGTATGGCATCCAGTATTTCAGTGTTGTTAAAGGAACACGACACACAAATGGAAAATGTGATATGACTATTATTGAGATGAACCAACTTGTTTTCAAGGAAAATATTTCAACAAAAATACATCAATATATAATAAATAAATACAAATATTGATACTCAATCAAACTACGACAACAATTAAACAAGAGCACACACACATAAGGGCTATGTTACAAGTGCTTTCATAACAAAATAAATGACAACATAAAAGCTAAATAGAATTGTGTGTGCTAACAGTTTGTGTGTGTATGTATGTGTGTGTGTGTGTGTTGTGTGTGTGTGTGTGTGTGTGTGTGTGTGTGTGTGTGTGTGTGTGTGTGTGTGTGTGTGTGTGTGTGTGTGTGTGTGTGTGTGTGTGTGTGTGTGTGTGCTGACAGTGTGTGTGAGAGTGGACAGTGGAGTTGTATAGAGGAGAACTGTCCAGGAACCTGCTCTCTGGAGGGGGGCGCTCACATCAACACCTTTGATGGCAAAGCCTACACCTTTCATGGGGACTGTTCCTACGTCCTGGCTAAGGTAGTACACACACATCCTCTTCCGTGCTGTTATACCAAACACACACCCATGCCATGGTAACACTTGCACAGCAGAGCTACCCAAGCCTGAAGCAACTGACGGTACTATTCATGCAAGGTTCTGATTAGTGTTGCTCTTCTACTGGGGTTCTATACACTGCTAGGTGCAGCCATGTTGTTTCACTGCAGCAGTGTGAGAGATGTGTGAGAGTGTTGTCTGTCTGTGTTTAGGACTGCAGTGGAGCCCAGTTTGTAGTGCAGGCGCAGCTGCTGCAGTGTGGAGTGACCGAGAGTGAGACCTGCCTTAAGTCTGTGACCTTGGGTTTGTCTGGAGGGGCTAATGTGAGTAACACACACACACACACACACACACACACACACACACACACACACACACACACACACACACACACACACACACACACACACACACACACACACACACACACACACACACACACACACACAAGTTTTGCTTTACTTGTTTTCAAATAATTTGTCACTATTTTCGAAAACATAATCCTTTATCACCAGCCTGCCATTGCTTCCTATATGTATTTGAGTATACAATTACAATAATATGAAAGTATTGTTGCAAGGTAAGGGAGTGCACACAAGATGTATTGCTTGGTTTTTCATCACGAACACACGCCACAGAGATGATAACAACAGGTCTCTTTTCATATGAAGGTGATCACCATCCAACCCAGTGGCAAGGTGTTTGTGAATGGCATCTACGCTCAGTTACCCTTCTCTGCTGGTGAGACACTTTCCATATCTAATCTTATCCTTACATTTCTTCCACAGTAGCACCGTAACTTACATGATCTGCGTTTGTCAGTCACGATCAGTTGTTTTTCCTGAACGTCTGAATGGAGCGACTGCAAGGACAGCGTCATCTCCTTCCGTTGGTAAACGGTGGACCGGTGAATCCTAAGCTAAAGGAGATAACAAAGGAAGCACAGAATCTTCTTTCCTTATCATTAAAGAATTCAAATAGCTCCTCTTATGGCAGGAAGTTAGCACTTCTTGGACATTTCATCTGTTAGGAACCTTCCCGACCGCACTGACAGTAACGCTGTGGCTTTCAAATTAATAAGAAAAGCGGTTAATGCGCGATACAATAATTGTTGGCGTTAATTCATTAATGTGTTAACGCTATAACAATGCGTTAACTTGCCCAGCCCTAATATATATATATATATATATATATATATATGTATTACATGGCTTAGTTGAATACTCGATTATGATTGGTCAATTCAGAACACGTGACATGTTGTTAATCCAGAACAGACAGACCGCTGTCAAGCACTTATTGACACAATTAACACTTATAGTTTCATGTCTTTTTACATAAGAATAGACCATAATATTTGTTAAGTGTTATTATGGGATAATTACTATTATTGTGGCACTGCTGTCTTATTAGGCCCATATTGAGCAGCGCATATTAAGACCAAAACTCATGAACAACTTCCTTACTTGCAATAAATAAGCACTAATTAGAGGGTTATTGAGGAGAAACTCTCAACTAATGGCTTATTACTTGTAGAATATCGTCATGTAGAATAAGGCATTAATACGAGTTTTATAATGACTAATAAAGAGCCAATATTCTGCTAATATGCACGATAATTAACAACTAGTTGATGGTTAATTTGTGTACCTTAATATAAAGTGTTACCCATTTTTTTAATAGAATTAAATTGTTTTATCTGAGTGTTTCAGGGTATTCTCTGAATACCTTGAATGCCCAGATGTTTCACCACTGATATACAGTATACGTTTTTTCCAGGTAAGGAAATCAACAGCATGAGATCAGTAATACTACACTTGATGAGCTTCTCTTTTTAACTTCTACACATATCCACCAACCAAACAACATGACCATCTTTACTGCAGATCCAGAGTCATTCCATTTGCCTCTGAGCTGGATAGGATGACAGCTTGCAGAAAGTGATAGATTTGTTTAACAAACTCCCGTCCCCCCTGCAGCTGGGATCTCGGCCTTCAGAGCGTCCTCCTTCTACCTGCTGGTGCAGACGTCTGTGGGAGTGCTGCTGGAGGTGCAGCTCCACCCGGTGATGCAGCTCCACCTCACAGTGACCAGCGACTACCAGGCCAACACCTGTGGTATGTGTCCTGAAGTCATCTGTACTTCAGAACTCAAATAGTGCTGGCTATTGATCCGTGTTTGTTGTTACAAACAGTAAACCCAATATCACAATTAAAACATTTTGGGTACAGCCTGATAATAATGAGTTACAATAATCCAGCCTTTAAGTAACAAATGCAGGGAATCGTTTTTCTGGATCGTTTTGAGGCAGGATGATTTTAGCAAGGGTACCCAGATGGAAGAAGGCGATCCTTGAGATTTATTTTATGTGGGCGTTAAAGAACTAATCCTGATCAAATATAATGCTGAGGTTCCTTAAGGTTTTGTTGGAGGCCAAGTTAATGCCATCCAGAGTGAGTCCTGTCTGTCTTTAGGTCATTTGTTTTGGAGTTGTTTGGGGCTGAGTAAAATAATAACTAAAAAGGTGTTCAACCGTAAAAAATGTAGAGGTCGTCAAAGTTTGTATGTCCTTTAACGCTAGTGTGGGACATGGCATTTGTATGTATCACGCATCAGTCTGTTTCAGTTTAAAAGAACAGGGAATCTGGATAGACAGAGTAAAGTGCCCTGTGGGGGTCCTGATCATGATGTTCCTGCCTGCAGGTCTGTGTGGCAACTTCAACAGCAACCAGGCGGATGACTTCCTGAAGCTCAGTGGGGTTCCAGATGCCACAGCAGCTGGTTTTGTCAACAGTTGGAAGACACATGCTGGTTGCCGCGATGTTAAGAGCAGCTTTGAGAAGCCTTGCAGTCTTAGTCTGGAAAATGGTTTGTCTGACTCTTTCCACTCTTTGCTGACACTTTGGGTTCTTCAGAATGTCTGATGTTGGTTCTGTTTTGTCACCGACAGAGAGATACGCCCAGCACTGGTGCTCAATGCTGAGTGAGCCTGAGGGAGTGTTTGCCTCCTGTCACTCAGAGATCAGCCCTGACTCTTACAAAGAGGTGAGTCTCACTGTTTCCTGTGGACTGTTCCTAGACCAGTCTCCAGGCCTGTCACATGACCTCACACTGCCCTTCCTTTTCCGTTCCGTCTCCTCCCAGAACTGCATGTATGACAGCTGTAACTCTGAGAACAGTGAGGACTGCATGTGTGCTGCAGTCTCCGCCTATGTCCATGCCTGTGCAGCTGCAGGGATCCACCTCAGCGGCTGGAGGAACACCATCTGTGGTGAGCACTGTGTAACTGTGGAGCAGAGTCAAACCCAAAGTGTTGCATCAGTATGGAAGCATTGAATCTGAGAGCATGATGGCAATACAAGTGATCTTACTGCTTTTAATATTGTATTGTAGAGCAGTCTGCTCTTGTTTGATAACAGATTATTGCTAGGGATGCTTTGAGGACATTTGCATTTATATTAATCAGCAGAAAGAAGTCTGCTCAATTTAACCTCAGCTGTGGCCAATAAAAACATTAGTTTTTCTCCATCAGAAACACAGAGTAATATTTTATATATTTGTGGAGAACAAGAAACTTTAAATTCCCCCAGTGAAAAAATGAATAGAACAAGAGCAGGAACCAAACACAGAAGAAGGTATGGAGTTGACGAGAGAGAAATCAGCAGAAGAACAAGACAGGAACACAGTATGGACTCTATCAGTGTTTAAAGACTGGTAACTGGAAAATACAATGTGAACAGTTCCCGAGAAATCTCCATAAAAACCTCTATCAGTTCTGCCATCATGTAGGTAACGTCGCAGTAGACGCTGTTCCAGTCATTGCTACACAGTAGAATGGACTATGATGTCTTACCGAAAGCAAGCCTCCTTCCAGAGGAGCACAACGGCACAGCCAGCGCAGAACCGTGTACTGCTGATGGTGTGAAGACAGCTTCAGCAGAATGATAATGGGACACAGCACTCTGGCCAGACTACATTTTCTACATTGTTGTTTAAGGCCATTAGTTTTTTTTTTAAATAATACTAATAGTTATGTTAATAATCCACTAATAACCAGAACAAGGGGGTTGTAACTCTGTTGTTGCTTGGACCCTTAACCAAAACCATTTGCAGGAAAACACATCCAACAACCTAAAGCCCTGCAGCAAATCTACAAAGAGATCTTGCTGTGACATTGCAGCACAACGGGCTAAACATCACTGGCCTTCATGTGGCCGGCACTGACTCTGCTGTGTCCTCCTCAGGGAAATATGCCAGCTCGTGCCCCAGCAGCATGGTGTACTCAGACAGCATCACGACCAGCAGCCACACCTGCCGCTGCCTCGGCTCCACGGACCTCAGCTGCCACGCTTCCTTCCCCCTCATTGACGGCTGTGTCTGTGCACAGGGAACCTACCTGGATGACAACGGGAAGTGTGTTCCATCTACGGCTTGTCCCTGTTATGACGAAGGCTCAGTGGTGCCTCCTGGACAGGTCGTTAACAAGCAAGGGCTCATGTGGTACGTAAAGCTTTTGTTATTTTGGATATTGTTATTCCAGGCATGTGTATGGGATTTGGTAGGATGAAATGATTCCCCATATTATCCCTTAATGCACATTAACTCAAGGCCCGGGGGCCAAATCAGGCCCTTGGTGGATTTAATTTCGGCCCACAGGATAATTTTGAATTACTATTAGATCTGGCCTGCCGGTATATTGCACGCACACCTTCACTCCATCCTGAGGGTTTCCTCAGCTCAGAGCCTGAGCCCAAACATTGATGAACTTGCACCTAAGATGAGATGCCAAGTATCTGAACTAGCATCACAGAGCAGCACACTGAGTTCAATGGATGTTTCCTTCTGCACTTTCTCTCTTGAGACAACAGGGCATGTTTATTTTTTCTTTGAGGGAAATAGTTTTGTTGAAGCTGTTGTTGGCCTGTGGGAAAATGTACTCATAAGAAATGACTGAGGAAAAGCTGCAGATAGAGCCATAAGACATGAATGCAACTGATTATTTAATGTTGTTTTTATAGGCAATCATTGAAGCTTTGTTAGTTCCAGGTTTAATATGTGCAAGAAGTTCATTTCAATAAGTTTTGCAATAAACATTGAACCAGTCCGACCCTCGACTAGTACCCATTTTTTTATTTTGGCCCACTGTATATTTGAGTTTGACCCCCCTGCCTTAATGCATCTGAAAAAAAACTGAAGTATATGTGTGGACTTAAAATAATTGTGAATTATGCGGGAACAGTTATTGTATGCCAACTGATCATAAACATTATGGCTGTAGTTCCTTTGTGCCAGCTTTGGATCTTCCCTCCTTTCTTTCGGGCTTGAGAGGAACAAATTAATGTTTATCTCTGACATATTTGTAAAAAGTCAGAATTTCACAAATGTGTAAAGTGTGCGCTGCTGTGTTATATACGTGTATGTATATTCATGAGTTTTTATATTCCTCCTCTAGCTCCTGTAAGGACGGTAAACTGGGCTGCATTGGGGAGATGATTGTACAGCTATGTAAGTAACACAATAGAAACACCTGAAAGGGAGTGTTGCCTTACTTCCTAATGGTAGCTTTCAAAGTGAAATTGCAGAGCAGTTGTTTTTTAGCATCGAAGAGACAATAGGACTTCATCCAGCTGTGACAGGTTTCAAACATGATATCCCTTTCAGATTTAGATCCTTGGAAAGTTGCTGTCTGCCAACATAGATCATCATTTTCACTTGTTTTATATTTGAAAATACTAACCCAGTTTATGACAATTTCAAAGAATGTACTGATCACTAACACTCTCTGAAACTGAGCATGTATGTGTTGGGTCAGGTAAAAGACAGCAGGGAAACGCTTGCTTAGCTTTGATCACAAAGACCTACCAACACCTATAAAGCTAATTTGTTTAATGTGTCCACACACAACTGCCTCTAGAACCACTATCACTGTTACCGTTATGTTTGTGTACAGCGTTTCAACACGCAAGATACAGCCTGAACTTTAGATGTGTTATTCAGATCAAGACAACATACAGGCAAAATGCCAACAAGTCTGGGAGAAATATGTGCAAGTGGACAGTTTGCATCACAAATACTAAAAAAAGAACGATTTGCCGTTTAGACAAAAGAATAAAACGCTACTTCCCATCTGCTGTACTTTCTATACTGGAGGCCATAGCTGATGGTAATCATACAACTGCAGTTAGTATGGCGATATACGGAGTCCCTAAAGGGACATGAAATACTCTGGCTGTGTGTTAGAGTGATGGGGCTTGTTTACATGTAAAAAAAAACATGTTATATTATATCTTGATAACACAAATACTCCATCAACAAGGCACCATCTTGGTTGTCAGAAAAACAAGTTTATTTTTGATGTTGCATAAAATAAGGGCAACAGTAGTAATATAAAGAAAGAAACCAAGATTCATTTTAGAATGAAGTATAGTAATTTCAGACATGTCTTTTCTTAGCAGCCTGTGCTCTTCCTATGGAGTTTTTCAACTGCTCTACCCATGGTCCAGCTGCTAAAGGAACTGAGTGTGAGAAGAGCTGCAACACATTAGACATGGCCTGTGTGAGTCACCTTTTTCCCAACATAGAGGAACATTTATCTGCAAATACATTACTAGTTTATATGGATCAAATATTTGGATAATCAAAGTAAAACATACAACTGTATGTTTGATAACTTCTGCAGGTGTCCACTGGGTGCGTGTCCGGGTGTATGTGTCCATCTGAGATGATGTCTGATGGTAAAGGAGGCTGCATCAAGCCAGACGCCTGCCCCTGTGTTTACAACGGCATCTCCTACCAGCCTGGAGAGAGCACCAAGGTGGACTGCAACACCTGGTAGGTGAATCCCTACCCTAAGTGGAGGGAAAGGCTTTTACTTTAGTGTTTTGGTTGCACCTCCATCTTTGAGTGACACGTACAATGAGAAGTCCAATCTCTCTGTTTACAGCACTTGTAAAGACAGGAAGTGGCAGTGCACTACAGAGACGTGTGATGGGTCCTGCTCTGTCTACGGAGCAGGACACTACATGACCTATGATCAGAAACGCTTCACCTTCGATGGCAGCTGTGAATACATTCTCACTCAGGTATAAATTCACTCACAAACAGAGAGACAGAACAGATGAATGCAATTGTGGTAAATATGTTATAACTAACCCTATCCCACAAAAGGTTTTGGTAATCTGCAGAAAACCAAAGAGATATGCCTTACTATTGAATGGGCTTGCTTAATTGCACGAGACAAGACCGACAGATAAACATTCCAACATCTTAAATTCACATTAAATTATTATTAGGACGGGCCAGTGATCTGAATCAGGAGTGCTTTTTGAGGAACCACCATTCTTTGAATGTGTTGCTGTAGTTCTTTGGCTTGTAGAGTTATTTCAAACCACTGTGATCTCCCTGCTTCCTTAACTGTCCCTGTCAGTTCGTTCAAACAACATATCCCTGACAAAGCAGAGAACGGGAGTCGAGCAGGGCCACTAATATTGATGTCTTTTTTCTGTGTGTGTGTGCCTTCCTCAGGACTACTGCAGTGCACAGAGTAATGGAACCTTTAGAGTTATCTCTGAGAATGTTCCTTGTGGAACCACAGGAACCACCTGCTCCAAGACAATCAGGATCTTCCTGGGGGTAAACAGTCAAATATCCATCCATCTGTGTGTCTGTCTCTCTGTAATGTATCTATATCAACAATACAAATATGTCCTTTTCTATAGAATGCAGAAGTGATTCTAACAGAGGGACGCTACCAGCTGCTTTCAAGTGGAGATGAACATTCAGTTCCATTCCGTTACAGCACTATGGGCATCTACCTGGTAGTTGAAGCCAACAATGGACTCATTCTCATGTGGGACAGAAAGACCAGCTTGTTCATCCTGCTAAGCTCAAAATATAAGGTACCGCCGGATACATTTTGTTGGTCTTATTGTCACAAACATTTATTAATTTGGATATTCAAGCCGACAGCCATGACTTAAGGACCTCTCCCTTTTCAGGGTCGCGTGTGTGGCCTGTGTGGCAATTATGACGGCAATGCAAATAATGACTTCACAACAAGGGGCAATGCTGTGGTGGTCAACCCACTGGTGTTTGGAAACAGCTGGAAGAATTTACCCAGTTGCCCCGACGATCAGAGCATTAGCAGCCCCTGCACAACCAACCCATACCGACAGGCCTGGTCGCAGAAACAGTGCAGCCTTATACAGAGTGACGTCTTCTCCGCCTGCCACTCCATTGTAGGTTGTTGATGAGACCATGTTAGACTATTCATGAGCTTTCCTTTTCAGCCTGCTGGCCTGAAGGTTGTCCCTGTTAGGAAGACAGCACATAACCTACTGATTATGCTATATAAAGTGTCTTCAAACATGGACATGTTTACACCTTTTATCAGGGTGTTCACTCAATGACTGACTGGTGGAAGATTTATCCAGATCCTTTACTCATGTTAAAGTAGCAATGCCACACTGTAAAAATACCATAAAAAAAGGAGTGCAGAAATATACTTGGAAAAGAAAAGGAAAAAAATAGCGTTTTTCTTCCATTATTGTATAATAATATCATTTTTTTGTAGGTGGATCCAACTCCATACTATGATGCATGTGTGTTTGACTCCTGTGCTTGTGACACGGGTGGAGACTGTGAGTGTTTTTGCACTGCTGTAGCTGCTTATGCTGAATCCTGTAATCAAGCTGGAATCTGTATACCATGGAGAACCCCAAATATCTGTCGTGAGTATCTAAGATGAACAATCATTTAAGGCAATAGACTAAATTAATCAGGGTTACATAAGGTAACAAGCAAAGTTATTTTAGATAAATACATACCTATCAAGATCACTAAGGTAAAAAAGGATGTGCTGGATATTATAACCTTTGTCAGTGGGGGCTACATACTTTATATCATTTGTATTGCTCCCTGGGGCAGATACAGTCACTGTGGGGTTTTGGGAGGGCAACTGCTTTAGTAGTAACAGAGAGAAGAGTGTAAAACTGCAACTCTTGATTTAAACTCTAGTTGGTTAAGAATACAGTTGTCTAATCAACTTAATTCTAGATCCATAGTGGGATATATGGCTTCTTTCCTAATCAGACAAGGCGTTTCCTAGGTAACCAGATAATCAGCTGGATACCACATCGGCAGCCAGCATGGGACCAATGACATTAGGCTGAACTTCTGATCACTGGTTGGACTTGTCAGGGCTGAGAGAAAACTTCGGAGACCAATATTATCTTTGGATATTTATACAACTACTCAGCATTAACTCAAGAAGTTCAATTGGCGTATTGATCATACTATGTTTCTACTTATTTGTAGCCAGTATTTAAATAGTATAGCCACACTTTGAAAATCATCAGCACTTTCTCTGAGAGTATCATTTATTTTCCAGCTCTCTTCTGTGATTACTACAATCCCCCTGGAGAATGTGAATGGCACTACATGCCATGCGGATCTCCTTGTATGAAAACCTGCAGGAATCCATCAGGCAGCTGCTCTCTACAGATTCCTCCTCTTGAAGGTAAGTTAAGCTTTTTTATAACTTGAACTAACCCCAAAAACACATTCAAGATTGAAGATTTCTGATTGAACGCATTGTCTCTTTAAATTGGCTGGATTTATTTAAAGTTCTTTATTTTAAAGTTGTCGTTCAACCACAATGCCAGGTTGAAGTACAAAAAAAGCATTTAATCTGGTTGTACCCATGAATCTGCAAATATTCCAACATGACCATTTCTTTGTTTTTAATTAGGTTGCTATCCAAAATGTCCTCCTGCTCAGCCATACTTTGATGAAGATACTATGACATGTGTTTCAAAAGAACTATGTGGCTGTCACGATAAAGAGGGGAGATACTATAATAATACTGACAAAGTTCCAACAACAGAAAACTGTCATACATGGTACGTCTTGCATATAATACATGTCCCAGTCAAGGATGTATGGGTTCGTTGCAGGTTCAAATTCAATGAAAACAATATTATTGTCAGTAATATGTTCTGTTTTTCTTCTTGCAGTAACTGCAGTTCAACGAGCATCCAATGCTTTTATGATGCCCAAGGTATGCTAAAAGAGAGATTAAGGGTTGTAAAAATATATAAATATGTCAATTAACTATGTTAACAAACATATTATCTTTTTACAGCCTGTACTTGCACATATTTGAATAAAACATATTACCCTGGCAAAACCATCTATAACACAACAGATGGGCTTGGTAACTGCTTCATAGCAGTGTGTAGGACAAATGGTACCATTGACAAGGGGTCATATTTATGCCCAGTACCAACACCAACAACACCTATGCCCATTGTAAGCACATCTACAGTAAGCCAGTCTTCAGCCACCTTTGTTTTTACAACCACACCAGGTACGTGCAACATCGTTTTTTTTTTTATTGAAGTCATATTCAGCTGTATCGTGTAAGATATACTAAATAACCAGCCCACTTTTATGTATGTCCACAGAGCCCCATACAGTTCCAGTCCCATGCAATCCCTGTGAATGGTCACCATGGTTTGATACTAGCTTCCCAACTCTAGGAACTCCAGGAGGAGACAGTGAAACGTATGACAAGATTAAAGAGGCAGGGAACAAGCTATGTGCCAAGCCAAGCGAGATCCAATGCAGAGCTGAGAAATTCCCAAATGTCTCCATTGACAGTGTTGGACAAGTGGTGCAATGTGATCTGGCTAAGGGGCTCATATGCAGAAATGGAGATCAGTCAGGATCACAGTGCTTCAACTACCAAGTCAGATTTCTGTGTTGTGACTATAGTGCATGCCCAACAAAGCCTAGTCCTTCTATGACACCTTCAATCTCACCCACAAAGCCCGCAATAATACTTACAACCACACATGTTACAGAAACACCTTGTCAGGAAACGTTATGCAAATGGTCAAAATGGATAAATTCCGACTACCCTGAATATGGTAATGGAGTTGGAGACAATGAAACCATCAAACACATCATTCAGAAAGGATTTAAAATCTGCAAGGATCCGGAGGCAGTGGAATGTCGTGCTGAGGAATATCCAACAATTCCCATTCACCAATTGCCGCAACAAGTGACATGTAATAAACAAGGACTCGTGTGTAAGAACAATTTACAGTTTCCTCCCATATGTCTCGATTATGAAATAAGGGTAGAATGTTGCAGAACAGTTCAATGCAGCACAACACCACAAACTACTACTACTTTCACAACGACATCACAGAAAACGCATACCACTACAACAACAAAGCCTTCTACCACAACTGAAACAACAACACTTCAGACAATGACAACTGCACCTTGTCCTGGTGGACATGATATGACATGTGGCTGGTCAGAATGGATCAACCTTGGCAAGCCCACATCAGGCTCCAATGGTGGAGATGATGAATCAATCCAGAATATAATCTCTGCTGGTTATCCTATATGCTCAGCTCCTGAAGAAGTTCAGTGTAGATCTGTTCTTTACCCAGGTCTTCCCTTGTCAGAGATGGGACAAGCTTTGACTTGCAACAAAGATGTTGGTTTCATCTGCAACAACAAACAACAAGGGCTTATACAACAGTGTTTTGATTATGAGATTAGATTGAAATGCTGTGACTGTCAAACACCCTCCACTGCAGTACCAATTACACCCTCAACGCCTTCCACTACAGTAACATCTGCAACACCATCAACTCTATCAACAACAGTTACAGCCTCAACACCTTTGAGTACAACAACTAGTACACCTTCTACCACAACCGAAACAACAACACCTGAACCAATCCCAACTGCACCTTGCCCTGGTGGACATGATATGACATGTGGCTGGTCAGAATGGATCAACTTTGGCAAGCCCACATCAGGCCCCAATGGTGGAGATGATGAATCAATCCAGAATATAATCTCTGCTGGTTATCCTATATGCTCAGCTCCTGAAGAAGTTCAGTGTAGATCTGTTCTTTACCCTGGTTTTCCCACGTCAGAGATGGGACAAACTGTGACTTGCAACAAAGATGTTGGTTTCATCTGCAACAACACACAACAAGGGCCTACGCAACAGTGTTTTGATTATGAGATTAGATTGAAATGCTGTGACTGTCAAACACCTTCCACTCCAGTACCAATTACACCCTCAACTCCTTCCACCACAGTAACAACTACAACACCCTCAACTACTTCAACCACAGTTACAGCCTCAACACCTTTGAGTACAACAACTAGTACACCTTCTACCACAACCGAAACAACAACACCTGAACCAATCCCAACTGCACCTTGCCCTGGTGGACATGATATGACATGTGGCTGGTCAGAATGGATCAACCTTGGCAAGCCCACATCAGTCCCCAATGGTGGAGATGATGAATCAATCCAGAATATAATCTCTGCTGGTTATCCTATATGCTCAGCTCCTGAAGAAGTTCAGTGTAGATCTGTTCTTTACCCTGGTTTTCCCACGTCAGAGATGGGACAAACTGTGACTTGCAACAAAGATGTTGGTTTCATCTGCAACAACACACAACAAGGGCCTACGCAACAGTGTTTTGATTATGAGATTAGATTGAAATGCTGTGACTGTCAAACACCTTCCACTCCAGTACCAATTACACCCTCAATGCCTTCCACTACAGTAACATCTGCAACACCCTCAACTCCTTCCACCACAGTACCAACTACAACACCCTCAACTACTTCAACCACAGTTACAGCCTCAACACCTTTGAGTACAACAACTAGTACACCTTCTACCACAACCGAAACAACAACACCTCAGCCAATCCCAACTGCACCTTGCCCTGGTGGACATGATATGACATGTGGCTGGTCAGAATGGATCAACTTTGGCAAGCCCACATCAGGCCCCAATGGTGGAGATGATGAATCAATCCAGAATATAATCTCTGCTGGTTATCCTATATGCTCAGCTCCTGAAGAAGTCCAGTGTAGATCTGTTCTTTACCCTGGTTTTCCCACGTCAGAGATGGGACAAACTGTGACTTGCAACAAAGATGTTGGTTTCATCTGCAACAACACACAACAAGGGCCTACGCAACAGTGTTTTGATTATGAGATTAGATTGAAATGCTGTGACTGTCAAACACCTTCCACTCCAGTACCAATTACACCCTCAACTCCTTCCACCACAGTAACAACTACAACACCCTCAACTACTTCAACCACAGTTACAGCCTCAACACCTTTGAGTACAACAACTAGTACACCTTCTACCACAACCGAAACAACAACACCTGAACCAATCCCAACTGCACCTTGCCCTGGTGGACATGATATGACATGTGGCTGGTCAGAATGGATCAACCTTGGCAAGCCCACATCAGTCCCCAATGGTGGAGATGATGAATCAATCCAGAATATAATCTCTGCTGGTTATCCTATATGCTCAGCTCCTGAAGAAGTTCAGTGTAGATCTGTTCTTTACCCTGGTTTTCCCACGTCAGAGATGGGACAAACTGTGACTTGCAACAAAGATGTTGGTTTCATTTGCAACAACACACAACAAGGGCCTACGCAACAGTGTTTTGATTATGAGATTAGATTGAAATGCTGTGACTGTCAAACACCTTCCACTCCAGTACCAATTACACCCTCAATGCCTTCCACTACAGTAACATCTGCAACACCCTCAACTCCTTCCACCACAGTAACAACTCCAACACCCTCAACTCCCTCCACCACAGTAACAACTACAACACCCTCAACTCCTTCCACCACAGTAACAACTACAACACCCTCAACTCCTTCCACCACAGTAACAACTACAGCACCCTCAACTCCTTCCACCACAGTTACAACTACAACACCCTCAACTCCTTCCACCACAGTTACAACTACAACACCCTCAACTCCCTCCACCACAGTAACAACTACAACACCCTCAACTACTTCAACCACAGTACCAACTACAACACCCTCAACTCCCTCCACCACAGTTACAACTACAACACCCTCAACTCCCTCCACCACAGTAACAACTACAACACCCTCAACTCCTTCCACCACAGTTACAACTACAACACCCTCAACTCCCTCCACCACGGTAACAACTACGACAACCTCAACTCCTTCCACCACAGTACCAACTACAACACCCTCAACTCCCTCCACCACGGTAACAACTACAACACCCTCAACTCCTTCCACCACAGTAACATCTGCAACACCCTCAACTACTTCAACCACAGTAACAACTGCAACACCCTCAACTCCTTCCAAGACAGTAACAACTACAACACCCTCAACTCCCTCCACCACAGTAACAACTACAACACCCTCAACTCCTTCCACCACAGTAACAACTACAACACCCTCAACTCCTTCAACCACAGTAACAACTACAACACCCTCAACTCCTTCAACCACAGTAACAACTACAACACCCTCAACTCCCTCCACCACAGTTACAACTACAACACCCTCAACTCCCTCCACCACAGTAACAACTACAACACCCTCAACTCCTTCCACCACGGTAACAACTACGACAACCTCAACTCCTTCCACCGCAGTACCAACTACAACACCCTCAACTCCTTCAACCACAGTAACAACTACAACACCCTCAACTCCTTCAACCACAGTAACAACTACAACACCCTCAACTCCCTCCACCACAGTAACAACTACAACACCCTCAACGCCTTCCACCACAGTAACAACTGCAACGCCATCAACTCCTTCCACTACGATAATTGTACTGACAGAAGAAACCAATCAACCAATTACTTCGCCACAATGCCAATGTTTTTATAATGGTACAAAGTTTCCTGCTGGTAAGTACTGTTCATAATAACGGATTTATCTTGAAAACGGGTCATATCTATTTCAGACACCAGTGTGATATCACAACAAAATATAAAAATAAAATAAAGGCCTATACTACATAAGATATTTGTTCGAAACCCATTTCCCATTTCTCCACCTAAATTGTACACTTACCATGTACCAAACAATCCTATACTAAATGTGTATAGAACAATAAACCAAACATGCAGTAACTGTATTCAATTATATTTACATAAAAATAATGGAGATTACTAGCAGGATTACAATGTAACAATACATTTGAAAATAAGATAATTAGATCATAGGAAGACTGAATCTTATTTTATCTTTTCATTTAGTCTCTCTTTTCGAAATCTCTTTTTATTCTTTTTTTAAATGCGGTGGGTGGATATCTGATTTATTAAACAAAAATACCGTGTTTGATTTGAATTCAACTATATTATTCTGTAAGCCTATCCTTTAAATATAGAGGACACATTTTTTATACGGAATCATTTGGTTTCTTCTTTTCTAAGTTGATATTGTTTTGTTTTTCTACATAATACGCTAAAGTAAAAGCCATCTTAGTGTTTGCATGGTGATGGCATTGCATTTCATATTGAGGTAATCCAAAAGTAACTGAAAGTAATCAGGTACATCACTTTTATATTGTGATACTTAAATAAGTTTATTAATTAAACTTGTTTAACATTTAACTAATCATTTTAAGAGAATATAGATTTAGGGTAACCCTCCGAACTCTGGATATAACATTATGTGATACGTGACTCCTTTTCACAAACCTGCTGTGTCTCATTTTCAGGCTCCATAGTATACAATGAGACAGACCATGATGGCTACTGTTACACAGGGTACTGCAATGAGAGCTGTCATGTAGTAACCACAGGACAGCCATGTGATATACATCCTCCACATCCTCCACCTGTGTTTTGTGTAACAGGTCAAGGTCAAAAACAGGTAATTATTGATTTATATTCCATACAAATGTTTTTTTTATACGCAATTGTTCAACCCACAAACTGTTGTCAGATAATGAAATGTGCATTATTAATTGTTATACCTACTGACAAATTATTTAGGTTTAGTCAGCACAACTACTTGGTTAAGTTTAGAAAGAAAATGTGATTTTAGTTTAAATAACAAAGTCAACATCCTTTGTTTTGTGTCCCATCCCTCCCTTATGGAGTTTTCTAGCTGATATACTATGCAACTGACTGTAGCCTCTGCTTCTGTCATAATTGCTACTGTTGCTATACGTGGTGTCTTCTTTTATTCAATCCTTTGGTGAAAAAACGTGCTGAAACATGATCAGTACTGCCTTCTAGTTGGTTTAGCAGGCCCCTTCTGACCTGCATTTATAAAGCTGAAGACCACTGATACCACTCATTTAATTGACTGAGAAATGGAACCAGGTGTTAAATCCTTTGATTGTTATGAATGCATTAAAACCACTCATCTATATTTTTAAACAACAATCTTTAATTATTCTCACAGAATGGTGAAAGTTGGATGATGAGTAACTGTACTAAGGCAACGTGTATAAATGGCAACGTTTCCATGAGCCACAGACCGTGCCATATTCAAAAGCCTGTAGTCTGTGCAAATAACTTTGCTGCAATTAAAGTGCTGGATGATGAAGGATGCTGCTCCCACTATGAATGTCAATGTAAGTCTGACCTGCTAAAATGTTGCTTGTTGAAAAGTCCAAAGGTTGAACATGTAAAAGCATTTTACCTAAAACAATCTTTTATCTTCTTTTCTTTCTCTATATTCTTGACTTATATTGTTTCAACAGTTGCGTGAAATGTCATAAAAAAACTGAAATATATTTTGTGTATGAAGGTATCTGCTACGGGTGGGGAGATCCCCATTATGTCACATTCGATGGAACCTACTATGGTTTGCAAGGCAACTGTTCCTACTGGCTGGTGAAAGAGATCTCGCCCAAATATGACTTCAGTGTTATAATTGACAACTACTACTGTGGAGCAGCTGACGGCTTGTCCTGTCCTCAGTCCATCACAGTCTTCTACAAAAGCTACAAGATCTTTATAACACAAAAGGAAATAAATAGCACATTTAAAAATCAGGTAATTCAAAGCAACTATTAAAGGTGGGGTATGTAATTTATTTTATATTTGATGGAATGCTCTTAACATCCCGATAGCAATGAATATATGAAATGCTTTGACAATAAATACATAACATAATTTCATCTGTGGATGCCGTAGCACTGTAAAAGCACGACCAATCATTTTAGCCAAAATGATTGGATGGCCTACCTGCCTGTCAGCCTTCCATCTGTGCACACACTTATCTCGTAGCCTCATTGGTCATATGAGCCGGAGGAGAGGGGCTCTGTAAGGAAGTCTGAAGGAAGAGGTAGATTTTTTCCGGTTGTGTACTTTCAAATTCTAGCGCACTCGAGCTGGTTTCTCCAAAATGACATACCCCACCTTTAACTTTCTTCATTTAAATTTAAACTAGTGATTATCTTAGCTTCAACCCTGTTTTGTTCCCTTCATCGCAAATGCAACCCATTGTGTGAACCTTACAGAACTGATTTGATCCTTATTTGTATAATTATCAAATGCATTGACCCTTACAAATTGTAATTTCTGCTTTTTGTTTTAGGTTTCCGTCAATGACAGGCATGTAAGTCCTGCATACCAGAACGGGCACTTCCGTATAACCACCACTGGTATTGATACAGTGCTTGTAATCCCTAAAATCCATGCCAAGATCACCTTCTCAGGGCTCATATTCAGCATTGACCTGCCCTATAGTAAATTTGGCAACAACACCTGGGGGCAGTGTGGTAAGTCCTGCAGTTTAAATAAAAAGCATCTCAATGTATGTAGACTTTGGAAAGCATTCGATGATGGACATGCTTCATGTCTACAGAGGTTGAATATGTTGTGAAGTTAATACTTACATAAGATGGAATATATTGTACCTATTCGACACATTCTGCCATCAGTGTGATTGATAATGATGAGGGTTTCTCCAGGCACATGTGATAACAACCGGACAGATGACTGCATGTTGCCCAGTGGCAAAATTGATTCTTCATGTCCTAATATGGCTCACGAGTGGCATACTGACAGCAACTGTACACAACTTCCTCCCACACCAAACACAACTCCTACGCCCGATACCTGCAATACAAGCATCTGTGAGATCATCGAGAGCAGGTAGGAGGAAAATAGGAAAACATGTCATCTATAACTCTAATCGTCAATAACATCAGGTTTAACAATGCTTAGTTTTAATAATACATTTCAGCTGATGATTTTGAGAATTTACAAATTCTTTCACTTATTGTAGGTAAGTATAAACTTTATATATATTTTACACAGGGATGTTAGCCTTTGTAGACCACTTACATGCACTAATACCTATAGCACACACTACTGGAAAGGAAGCACTGAAAGAACACTGATAACTGACTTCTTCTGTCTTAATGACAAAAAGCCAGCAATATTTCATGTTTCCTCTCTTTAAAAGCTCTTATTAGACAACACAGATACTGGTTTATTGATTTGCATGTCTTGATGTGTAACGATGTATTCAGCTTGTGTCCATTCTGACAATACATCTCATACTCCCCAGTGTATTTGAAGCTTGCCACAAGGTCGTTGACTACCGTCCTTTTGTTGAGGCCTGTGAGTTTGACGTTTGTCACATGCACATTAATCACATTGGCTGCATCAGCTTACAAACTTACGCTGGAGTCTGTGCTTCGGCTGGAATATGCATCGACTGGAGGAATTCCACCAAAGGACTCTGTGGTATGCAACCAGATTATGTTATAGAGGCACTATAACAATATCACAGCAATGACCTCAACTTAAAAAAGCATGATGTTTATTCTGTCTTCGTCTCTTATAGCATATACATGTCCAAGTCCCAAAGTGTATCAGCCCTGTGGCCCTCCGGTGGAGCCTACCTGTGATTCCTGGTACAGACATTCACCAACTCTCATAGTCAATCCATCAACATTCATTTATGTTTTGACTCACATACAACATTGGCTCTCACACAATATGTTGTTGTTTCTGCAGGTACAACCAGAAGTTTATCAGTACTGTCAATGAGTTCAGAGAGATGGATACTGTTGAGACGGAGGGTTGCTATTGCCCCAGTGGCACCAACCTCGTCTCCTCCGCCTCTGATGAATGTGTTCCTACCTGTGGTAAGGGCAGATGGCACTTCTCTATGGCAAAAGCAGTAAAGGCAATCTCATGAATGGACTGTATTTGTATCTGACTGTTTTTGTAACAGTTTGTGTGCTGTAGAACAATTAGGATGTAAGGGAAGCTAACTTTAAGGCCCTTCTGCCAGGTTTGTACCTGATCTGAGACCACCTGAATTTATTATCCTTATCTTTCACCTTAAAGTATTTTACCATTACTTTGCCGTACTGTCGCTGACATTCTAAAGGTATAGTGAAATGTATTAAACATGTCTTTCATTTTCCACTGTATCACAGAACTGCCAACTTTTCCTTATAATTAATAACCTGCACACATATACAGGTTTTTGCTTAACCTCTTTTGGTTTATCAAAACCAACATATTCAACTTAAAGTGAAGGTAGACACGCAGTGATGTAGCACAGTAAAGCTGTGATATTAGGTCTTAGCCAATTTTAATACGGAGCATGCAAACTGAAAGCAACCTGCGTAGGCAATGGGTTAAGTTGTAATGGTTAATCATCATTTGGAATATGAAGTTTGAACATAAGGTTAGGAAAGATATGAGGATTTTTAACACACTCAGTTTTTACTATCCTTATCTCCTGAGGCTGGCTGGCCAAACCACACATTATTGTAAATTACTTTATTCATTCTATTTCCCTCCTAACAGAAATATGTCGACTGGCAAAGGGAAAATGGAAAGAGGTAAATGTTTTTTCAACCCTTTATCTTAACCCTTTGATAATACTATGCCTCCTGCCACACTTACCTTAACATTGTGTCCTCAGGCCAATTCCACGTGGACAGAAGACTGTAACACGTGTATTTGTGAAGAGGACACACTGCAGGTCACATGCAGTCACGTGTCCTGTCCAACACTGCCACCTGTCAGCTGTGAGGAGCCGGGTCAGATTAAAGTCACTAATACTGTTGGCTGCTGTCAAGAGGATAAGTGTGGTAAGTGAGCAGCAAGAAGTTTATTCACGTTGTGTTTGTCCCTTTTAAGTTGAACCCAAGGATGGCCTATCAGATGAGTAAGGGAGGCAGCCAGATCTCTGTGCAGGAACCATGTGTCAGACAGATCCAACATATGATGGTTGTAAGAAGTCATTGATGTATAAAACAAAACATCTGATGCTTCCAGAATGTATGCAGTGGTTGTTCCAAATGAGCTGGAGTCAGGATGAACTAAGGTTTCACTAGATCATGTATGGCAGGGTGTTTGCAGGAAGCCATGTTCAAAGTGAGATAACAACCTAGAGAATTGTACGTTTGTTAATTGTAATGGAGGACCAAAAATGACCAAACCATGGTCTTTTCTTGCCTGTTCTGATTAGGATAAGGATGTTTTTAATGTATAGAGTAAAGATGAATCTTATCTTATTGTCTTGTGTTTAAACAGAGTGTGATGTGAAGCAGTGCTCTGGGGTTGTGCCGTCCTGTCCTGTGGGTTATACTCTCCACACCACTGTGGGAGTCTGCTGCTCGAACTACTCCTGCGGTGAGTGTGCCATGCTGGTCCATCCTTTCACTCAATAACCAGGTTCATTTTCACTAGGATTTTTACATCAGAATTAATCTGAATTTAATTGGTATGTTTCCTTCACAGAGCCCATTCCGGATGTGTGTGTTTTCAACAACCTTCAATATCAGGTGAGATCCCACATGTTAATATAATCTGATTGGAATATAATACATCCTCATCAAGGATTACAAGATGGCTTCGTTTAAAACATAGTGACTGTGTCATCTTTCTATAGCCATATGTCATCAAGAACATGTTTAGAACTACTAAGTCGTAGTAGTGTGGGACATGTATGGTGGTTGTTGCTGTACTGCCTGATGTTTAGCTTTAAACAATTGCAAAAATAAAAAAAGTATGCAACATTTAGACACATCTAGGTGGGAATTGGTGTGTCTTATAGTGTGGGATCTGCCAATGAATCCAGGAAAATGTTTATTTGCATGTTCCAGTATTTACAGTATATTAAATAACAAAAAGTGCATTATTTCTAAACACATGTGCACTAGATCTGTTGAAACCAAATACATAGAAAGCCACTGGACATTTGGATTCAGTTAATCTTGCATCATAATGCAGTCTCTCTTACAAATGGAAAGTTGAATACATAAGCCATAACATATCAACGAGGAGCTGGTTCATGTTTGAGTCCTCTTTCCATCGATTGTGAATAATAATAAATTGTGAACATATGTTAGTGGCCACTTTTCCAGTTACATTTATAAAACACAACCCAACAACACAGTAATTAACTCGGAGGTATGAACGTATAACTATACTGTATGTGTATTACTGAGGACTGCATAAGAGAGGGAATGTCTTCTTGCTGACTGCTCACCCTGTCTACCCAGGTTGGAGACTTAGTGCCCATGAAGTCATGTGAGATGTGCATATGTAGTCCCCGGACAGATGCCAGCAGCCACCAGAACATCATAGAATGTCATCCATTACCATGTGACACACACTGCCCTGTGGTAAGATGTTCAACATCCAATCAATTGTTGACATGTTTTTAACTGTGCACAGTGTTTGCTGGTAGGCTGTGTACTTGCCAGACCATACAGTTATGTGTTTCCTTAACTGACTTAAGTCATAGTTTTGGTAAACTTTATGTTGGGGTGATGGAATCTGGTGCCCTCTTGGATCAGCAGCCCTCCATCCGAACCAGAAGTCCTTTATTTGTCCCACATTGCTCCCTCATACATATTTGTTTTTAAGTTCATGCTACCTAGGTTCTTTGTGACATTCATTATGATAATTAATCACATTCTATCCAAGAAACATTCATCTTCTTTTTTCAAAGGTAAAGGCAAGCACTTCGGCATTGTCATTTTTCAATCCACATTAATGCCCTTCAAAACTGAGCTCTGAAGTGGACTTTTCTGTTCTGCTTTGATTGTAGGTTCAATCAAAGCATATGGGATAAGCAAAAGAAAAACAGAACACTTCCACATTTGATTTAAAACCATCTAATTAGTACACAAAGTGAATCCAGTTATAGGCCATTTTCATTACTCCTGCTAGGACACACGTTTGTCTTCACACCAGCCACACACATAGACAAGAGGTTAAGTGTTCTGTGTTTGCCCATCTGTATTTAGTTGTTATCTTTACTGCCACTGTAAATATTTAATACAACTTATTACAAAGTAAGCAATACTGTAAACCAAACAGACTACTAATGTCAAGCCAAATTGCGATGTTCTCATACTGCACATTTTCAGATGTTAATATCAGATCTCCAGCAGATTTTATGATATTAATTGTTTTACTGTGCTAAATGAGTCTTTGTGTTTTTGTTCAGGGTTATGAGTACCAGGTCAGGCCTAATCAGTGCTGTGGAAAGTGTGTCCAGATCAGCTGCATTGTCGCATTGCCCAACTCCACACACTCATTAAAGGTTAGTATATGTGTGTGTGCATGCACTGTTCGTTTGGAGAGAGAGAGTGAAAGAGGTTAGATGTGATGATTATGTGACGTCATCAACATTCATTTTTTGTTTGCTTTTGGTTAATGCCAACCATGCTGTGTTTAGGAACATATTTAGCAATATATTTTGCGTAAATCTTTTTATAAACATACATAACCCCTGGTGTGACATCTCTTCAAGTTTTTCCGGTCATGCCACTAGAATCAGCAGAAATCCACAAGAGATGAAGTGCATCTTTATTCCTTGACACACACACATTCAAAGAAATAGCAGACAAGGCAACATTCCACATATGAAGATCAGATGACTCTGATGAAGCACTCTTTAAACGTGCTATTTATTTCCTTTTGTGTTATAAAGATCTTGTAGCTTTTGTAGAAGACTGTGATGGAGGACAGGACAAGCCGTCAGCTGCTCCACAGTAGTAGTTGTCAATTATAACACTGAAGTCATATTTGGGCGAGATCTCTTTCACCAGCCAGTAGGAACAGTTGCCTTGCAAACCATAGTAGGTTCCATCGAATGTGACATAATGGGGATCTCCCCACCCGTAGCAGATACCTTCATACACAAAATATATTTCATTTTTTAATTATTTGATTTTATTCTTTAGCCTGGAACCATTTGGAGTCCCGCTTGGAACCCCTGTGTGAAGTTTGAGTGTGTGAAGATTGCTAATCACTTCATTACTGTTGAGGCCAAGACCATGTGTCCTTCCTACGACCCAGCAGAATGCATACCGGTAACTTCCCCACACACACAGACACACACACACACACACACACACACACACACTATGAGAAGCAGCAGTATACTGATGTGATCTGATTGTGTGTCTCCTGCAGGGAACTGAGACTGTCGCTCCAGACGGATGCTGCCACATCTGTATGTATTGCTTTCATGAACCTGCACACTATTTAGCAGGCTCTCCTCTCTCTCTGCTTCACATTGATGTCAACTTATTATTTAACCATTCAGAAGCATTGTGATCAGCAGGCCATTCAAAAACTAGTTTTGGTATTGATCCAGGGCAGTTACCTGACAGCTAGGAGCTCACTTAAGTAGTCATGTTCTTACTAAAAGAAAATACTTTTCAACCATGACCTGCTACCATCAAAGCGGGAGAAGTAGCCTCCAGGGTATACAGCTGCTATGAATGTGTAAACCAGGTCAGATAGAAAGATCTCATCCCTCCTCTGTCCTGCCTCAGGTATTCGCAGAGGTCAGCCCTGCAATGTGAGCAGCACTGCTGTGATCGTGGAGAACCAGGGCTGCCTCTCAAAAGAGGTCGTTAATGTCACGTCCTGCGCCGGAGCATGTGGAACCTTCACCTTGTAAGTCCCCCTCATGTACACATAATAATACTTTTTTTTCAATTGCTAAAACTTATTTTTTGGAAACTTAGTTTCTCAAAACACTAAACACAATTCAGAAAACCACACACCCAAAGTGCAAAACACGTCATATATCTTGCAAAATGACCCACTGCTATGTGTTATAGCAACTGAAAAAAACTGTAGTAAAAATAATCTCAGGCTTTGTACTTTCGCTATGACATCATCATTGTTATTGCCTTTGATGAAGCTTAGAGTAGTACACTGATCATTACATATACATGTACATATATAATATTGTATTTTTTTCTTTTTTTCTGTGTCACCTTTATCTTCACACATGGTTCCACTCTCTCCTCAGTTATTCTATCAAAATGCGAGCTCTGCAACACACATGCTCCTGCTGCCAGGAGGTGGCTACGTCTAAGAGGCAGATCCAGCTCTCCTGCCCCGACAGCACAGAGATCAGCTTCAGCTACACCCACATCGAGGCCTGTGCCTGCCTGGACACCGACTGCTCTGTGGTGCGCCGCGGGCAGATCTCTTCCCCAGCTACCAGCTCTCGCCGACGCAGGAGATAAGGCCAAAACCAGGCATCATCTGCATACATTTTCCTCTATGTATATCTCATGTATTAGGGCAGATACAATTATAATCCCACATATATCTCTTTAATAAAGATCATACAGTACTGCAAGCGGAGTATGTCTTGTTTTCTATGCACAGTGTGTGAGTGTGAAGATCAAGTCAAATGTCTACAATAAACCCAGTTTTAATAGATTCAAAATAAATTATTACATGGCTTAGTTTAATATTCAATTCTGATTGGTCAATTTGTTTGAGGTGTTTACTCTACAGCTCTGTAGTAGCTGAAGGTTCATCAGAAAGCAGAAGTACATAACATGGAGGACATCTTTAGGGCTGAGTCTGGGACAACTGGACTTGCTTTAGATGTATATATCATGTAATAACAGATAAGCAGCATACATATTAAATGTAATGCTGAATGCACTGTTAACCTGTTAAGCCACAAGGTCCCCCTCGGCGGGTACTTCTTTTTTTTTTTCATGACACTGTGTCTCAGGGCATCTTAATATTTAAGAACCTATTAATGTGTTATACCAGATTAACGGGAATAATCTAGTTGACGATACAAACCATTTTTACCAAAACAAAACACAAGTCTCATAAGAAGCATCGACCCCTGAGCGAAAAATGCTAACGCACGTTGGCACAAAACTCAAGATAAAGATACCCTTATTACTTATCATAGCTGCACATACAAGATATCTGATTAAAGCTGAGGTTCCACAGATTATTTAGGTATATATATCATCACTGAGTGATCCGAACTCGCGACAGGGGAAGCAAATACAGACATCACAGCACGTACCTACTGTGATTTTTATTAAATTAGTTAGGGGACATGATCAAATCGGAATATAATGTTCTTTTAAATAACGTTAACTAAAGGGAACAATCTATTTGACACAGCTGAAGCTCTGGCCTTCCTTAAAAACGAACTAATTTAATACAAATCACAGTTGTATTACACACAATGCACTGTTTTTTGAGAAAAATAAATCGTAACTAATGCACCATAATACATTCTGAGGAGAAATACAAATAAAATAAAAGAAGCCTCCCTTGAGTTACTACAAGCTATAAAGTAGATTTAAAAAAAACGCTTTATAGAATAAAATAATGGACGTTGTAGAAATGTGTGTGTGCACCACGACAAAGCAGCCTCATTCACTTTACATTGGCGTTGTTTGCGTGGTGCAGACATGTAAATGTAGCAAAGTTCGTGACTCCACCACACAATGCGGTGTTAAGGAGTCGTGGTGGAGTCACGCATTCTGGTGAGATCAGGTTGGGCCAGAGATAGGTCAAATCCACCCAAATGACCCCAGAAGTGGTTTTTTTGTTGCTAAATCTCTCTAAAAAGGTCAAATGTCACTTGTTTTGCATTAATCTTAATACAGGGTACTTATTATATGTTGTAGTTTGGATTCCTAAAGCCTTTAGTCTACCATCCCATCATTCAAGGGTGGTTTTCACTATAAGTACATTTTTTCTTTTTTGGACGGACACAATAATTAAAATTTCTTTACTGTGTTCAATCTGAATTTACTTTAAAATAAAAACATCTATATTGATTCTGACACTTCTACATCCAACTCACAGGTGTAACCTTGCTTTGAGAACCCTTTTAGAATGGAAGATATGGTCATTTGTTCTGGGAATGTCATTTTTGAGCCTGAGACCTTAAAAACAGGCTCGGGGCTTAACAGGTTAATTGAACCTTGGATTCTGAATCATTGTTTTGATCCTGGTTTCGTAAACTAAACCGGAAACAGCAGTATCTTTTATTGTGTTAACGCTGTAAACTTGACAGTTTTTTAACCCAAACCACCTACTGGTTAAAGCACGTTATTACACGTTTAGAGTAATTGCAATGCAGGTAGATTGTGTTGCTTTTTAATGACTGTTTTAAAATGCTTTTTTCTTAATGTCTTTCATTTTTCAGATTGAACACAGTAAACAAATGTAAATTATGGTGTCCGTCCGTCCGTCCAAAAAAAAAAAAACTTATAGTGAAAACCACCCTTGAATGATGGGATGGTAGACTAAAAGCTTTAGGAATCCTAACTACAACATATAATAAGTACCCTGTATCAAGATTGAAGCAAAACAAGTGAAATGTGACCTTTTTAGAGAGATTTAGCACAAAAAAAACACTTATGGGGACATTTGGGTGGATTTTCCATATCTCTGGCCCCCCTTGATCGATTTTGATGATTGACATATCTTTCTAACCGTCAGAGCCAATGGAATCGAGGGGAACTCCCACATACACACACACATGACCAAATAAGGAGTGAGGGTGACGCATAGCCAAAACTGGAAGTTGCGATAACTCTGGTAGCTACCATTAGCAGCTAACTTTTACTCTCCGATTTTTACATAAAAATGGAATTATGGATTATAAATAATTTGTTCAAAGCCACAGACACATTATCAACCTATGGATTAACCGATTCAGCCGCTTTTTTTCTCGTTTTAATGCCATTGAACACGTCTTTTGATCAGATTGACAGCTACGGTGAGACGATCTCCCGTAAAAGCTACGTAAAGGTACGTGTTGTGATGTCTGTGTTTGCTTCCCCTGTCGCGAGTTCGTAGTTCATTTTTCGCTCAGGGGTCATTTAGATGCTTCATATGAGACTTGTGTTTTGTTTTGGTAAAAATGGTTAGTATCGGAAATTAGCTGAGATTATTCCCTTTAATCTGGTATAACACATTAACAGGTTCTTAAATATTAAGATCCCCTGAGACACAGTGTCGTGAAAAAAAAGAAAAGAAAAAGGACCCGCCGAGGGGGTACTTGGGGCTTAACAGGTTAAATATTAAGAGTACTTACAAATTAGGGGGAAAGTAGAAGGTCAATGATAGAAATATAGAATAGAAAATATCAAGAAGATACTGTAAATGATCTCTACAATAAAACAATTTAGTGCCGGATGTACAAATATATTAATATGAGGATGTGCAAAACAGACAAACTAATTAGGCTTTATTAAAACATTAAATAATACTTTCGGTTAAGGTCTTCTTTTAAATACATGTAAGTGTAAGGGAAACTTCTGCAGCAATGGAGAGTCAGGACTCAGAGAGACACAAGGAGAGTTGGAGCTTTGATGTCAAACACTGAATGTTTATTTACAAGTATCGGCCGGAGAAATTCACATCACAAGTCACACAGCCAGATATTCTGACTGCCCTGGTGGGTTGCCATGTCAAATCTGATCAGCCTCGCATCTTGGTATACCCTTTAACTAGTTTACAGAAAGTCAAATCCACATATTGGGGATCGGCGTAAACACCTGGAGACACAGGAGATCACAGAGAACATCTGTGGTGCTAAGAAGCCAGCGTTCTCACAGTCGTAAAATCCCCCCTGTGCCTGATAGGTCAGGACATAAAACCTGGTAGTATCAACATATGACTGCATTATCACATTCCTTACGGGAGATTAGAAGCAGGTTTGGTCGTAACTGTCAACACACAGAATAGGTTAAATATCTAGGAGTAAAGATAGAAATATTCTTTGACAGTTTATTCCTTTTTTATCATTTATTGATAACATTAGTCTAATAATAATTTGGTCAATACTTCAATCAATAGGCGTCTTCAGATTTGAGTGTGGTCTCACCGTACATCAATTACATCACAAAGTAGAATAAGATCGAAACATTCAATCACAATGAATAATACAGGCAACCAGAATAGAAAAATCATCCCTCATCAGTGTTTGATCATCTTTTGTCAAAAGCACAATAATGAACACACATAAAACACAGATGCATAATAGCAAAAAACATCTACTTTAAAATAATATGTTTTAACATTTAACCATTAGTTGATCTCACTTATCAAACTATACAATCAAAACCATCTTGCAGTTTAAAGATTTACTTCAAGGCAATCACTAGTCAAAAGTATTTTTAAACTTAGGATCATAAGAGATCCAGCTAAGGTATACAATTCACAGTTGTGATTTGATCAATCTGTAATCTGCAAAATTGCAGTGTCTTCAATTTAGGATTACTTGACGTTTACTTCATTACATATGAAATCAAAAAGAATATGGCATGATAGCATAATTACATTACTTCAACTATCAATCATTATGTCATTTCAAAATCTGAAGGGAAAATTAAACAATTCTCAAAATGTTTAACAATCTGAAAAGGAAAAGTTAGGCAAATATTCAAAGCCTTTTGTAAAAACCTGGAAAGGAAGGATTAAACATTCTTAAAACTTGAAACATCATTTTAGGTCTGTCTGTGCATGGGTAATACATTGAAGAGTAGTGTTGTTAAGCCTGATTGCTGGACAATTAAGGATATTAACATGATCTGTTATAATATTAGAAATATCTTATTATTCAATACCTTATAATCTGAAAATATCAATTAATTTATTTTTGTTTAGTGTGAAAGTGTAATCTGATCTGACAAAATATATTTATAATCACTATTTAACACATGTCTGGTCATTGTAAATATAAAAACAATCATTAATTGTACATCTGTAAACATCTGTTCATTCAATTCAAATGTTATCTTTGTACAAGAGCTGGAAGAACATGTCCTCCTGACTCGTTATCCTCCTCTCTTGGAGTGTGTAAAGGCATCCTGATACTGTACACTGTAAAATGTTTGGCTGTAAAATTACAGTAAATTACTGGCTACTAGTTGCATGGATTTCACAGTAATTGACTGTAAATATTTCACAGTAATTGACTGTAAATATTTCACAGTAATTTACTGTAGATATTTTACAGTAAATTAGAATAAAAGTACGACTAAATACTGTGACTTTACAGTTGCCATGCCCATGGAATTACTGTGATATAGCAGTACAGAGCTGTGGTATTATGGTACCTTGCTGTACATACATTACAGTAATTACTTGTATTTTCACACTTTTACTTTAGAAGTAATGCAACACAGTAGCCAGTAATTTACTGTAAATATAAAAATGTAAATAATACGATATTATATTGTAAATCTGACTAGTTAACTGGGATTTTACCATAGCTACACAATTCAATCAGCTCAACCAACAAAGAAAAACAAAGA